CCAATAACTGAAGATTCCTTTGACCCATAGTCTTCATGTTTGGCATGGAGGTTAGTCATGATTAGTAGATGACCCTTTTTGATTTTGAGGTCACTGGGTCAAGGTCACAGGGGCCTTGCCTAAAAAAAGCTTGTCCGCCCAATAACTGTAGATTCCTTTGACCCACATTCTTCATATTTGGCATGGAGGTTAGTCATGATTAGTAGATGACCCCTATTGATTTTGAGGTCACTGGATCAAAGGTCAAGGTAACAGGGACTTTGACTTCTAAAAGATTGTCCGCCCAATAATTTAAGAAACCTTTGAATCACAGTCTTCATATTTGGCATTGAGGTCGATCATGACGATTAGGTGACCCCTATTGATTTTGAGGTCGCTGGATCAAAGGTCACAGGGGCCTTGACTTAAAAAGCTTTTCCGCTCAATTGCTTAAGAATGCTTTGGTCAATAGTCTTCATATTTTGGTATTGAAGCTGTTTATGACAAATAGATGACCCCTATTGATTTTTAGGTGGCTGTGTCAAAGATCAAGGGCACAGGGATTTTTACTATAATAAGCTTGTCTGCTCAAATGCTTAAGAATGCCTGTCCGCAGTGTATTTTTTGAAGCATGTAGAATAAATAACTTAGCAATGCACTGGCTTAGTAATCTCAGATTTGGCAGGGAGGTTGTCCTTGAGCTCTAAATGGCCAATGTTGATCCTGACAAAGTGGTATGCGGGGGTATTCACGCCATGACAGTGGCAGTTCTAGTTTTTACAAATTGGCTCATCATACTTTGCAGGTAGATGCCTTGAACGGGTAGAGTGAGGGATTGCTGACCCACACTTTTTTTATTAATTAAACTTTTAAATGCGGATATTTACTGAAATTTCCTTGAGGCATTTGAGTTATTTATCCTTCATGCAATTATTATGCAAAAGTATATTATAAAATAGAAAAGAATGAATTATGCCAAAATGTAAACTTATTTTGACTTTCACCATCCCCTTGGGTGGGCAAAATGTCGCTTATTATAGTAAACCTTAATGACATAATAATCACTAGGACCTGGTATATTGTTCACTTATGGCCTTTTGTCATTTTATGATAAATTGAAGAATATAGCAAAGTTGTCTCAGCAAAGTTTACACAGCATATAGTTTATACATAGTTAACGCTTATATACGGTGGCACAAAGGTGACATGTGTGTGTTTTTATTTATATCGTGGGCACGAGATAGCTTATTTGTGGCCACGAGATACTATGTCGTGGCCACGAGTTACTAAGTCGTGGCCACGAGATAGCTAAGTCGTGGCCACGAGTTACTAAGTCGTGACCACGAGATAGCTAAGTCGTGGCCACGAGTTACTAAGTCGTGGCCACGAGATAGCTAAGTCGTGGCCACGAGATAGCTAAGTAAGCCTTATATAATGGAATCACATTTGTTAAACAATATCAGTCGAAGGAGAATATATTTAGAAAAAATAAAGAAAGTTCAAATGCATAGTTTCTTTATTTTTGTACGATCGATCAGGAGTATATCATTTCCTTGATTCACTTTCCAATCCCAATCTGTAATACAAAATCAAATAAATCAAGTTTAACAAAACAGATTACATATACATATATGTACTAACCAACTCACTAACCAAATGACTAACTAACTAACTATTTAACTAACTGACTGACTGACTGACTGACTGATGGACAAACGGACGGACTAACCGAGTAAGCTAGCTAGCTAGCTAACTAGCTTACTAACTTACTAACTAACTAATTAACTAACATAAAATCAATAAAAAGAAACAAACAACAATGATAAATCCAACCAAAAGCAGAATTACTACAGTTACAGGCAGTTACCTGAGAGAAACCGGAAGAATCTGTACAAAAGTTACACAATGGGCATACATCACAAATATTGGCTCTTTAACAGGCCGGACTCGTACCGTGTCACTGCTTGATAGGCTGTAAACATTTATTTTGCATTTGAAAATTATATGTTTTATACTTAAATGTTCAAGATAAATTGAACTATGTATTGTTTCATACAACACTTTAAGTTAGAAAATGCTAAAAAAAAACAATCGAATCAACGTATAGGCACTAAACTTAAAGGCCACCAAGCCACAAAACGCTATTTTTTTTTTTTAAATCTTTATTTTTGGTGTCCTGTAACAGTTTTTAAAAAAGTGACTCATTTGCCATACAACTGAGCCATCTTAGTTACCTTATAGGGATTTAGTATTTTGTAATGGAAGTCAAAATACCACAATTTTCTATATTAATCTTACTACAAATTATTTCACATTCCATTTTTTTTCTTTGAGGTGATAATTAAGCGTCTAACATGTTGTATAAACACAAACTGGTTACAAATCCATTATTACAATATTATAAGAACACATATTTGCCTTTTCTTCAGAAAGAAAAAAAAATCTGAGACATAATGTGCTTTTAAACAGAAATATATAAACGGTTGTTTGCAATATAACCCTCGCCTATCGGCTCTAGTTATATTTCCAAACAGCCGTTTATATAGGGCCATATAACCTGTCAAAAATCTATATAACTAAAAGTAAAAATAGGGTTTTCAAAAGAATTTCATCATTGGCCATATAGCTCAACCACTTTTTGCTCCTTTTGCATTTTGCAGTTATAATTAATGTTTTAATATTGTGTATGAAGTCAAATTCAGCGTAATAACCATCTTACATGCTCTAAATCTATTATGACTACAGTATTAAACAAATGCTCAAAAAGATCAAACAAATAAATTCATTTCCGAAGTTTAAAAAATCTTTTATTGAAAACATTTTGTGCGAAAACTTGTCGTTTTATACTCACATCTTTTATTAAAATCATGGAACATTCTAGTATAACTTACTGGATTCGTAATAATCATAGACGATTATGTGTCAAGCTTGATTCTTAACAATAGGGTCGGACCTGTCCATTTTAACTGTCATCACGGACTGACCGTTTTGGGTGATCTGGAAAAAAACGTGCAAAGAAAAATGCAAAATAGAAAAAAAAAATGAAAATACATAAAGAAGTTATAAAACATAACATTACTACACATTTCAAAACAAGGCATTTAGATTATTTCCAAACAGTAGCATCACCGTGCATATCCAGTAACGCAGGAATGCGCAATTTGCGCAATTAACGTAAAAGTAACGCCGAATTTGTGAAACGCTATTGCCAAAACGAATAACACAGTAAGTAAACAAACCAAAATATTGTATTCTAAATGAAATTAAAAGAAATGAATTAGCGCATACGGCTGCTACGACATTAGACTTTAACCAACATTGCATTTTTTTTTCAGGACTATGTTAACTTTTATAGATCATTCGTGAGAAAGACAACCTGATTCGTGGTCTGAATGTGACTTTTGTGTTTCGACAAATAAATATGTACATTAAACACATTTAAAAACATTTTTTTTCTCTGCATATTCTGTATACCTAAGACATTTGTCAAACTACAAGTGTCGTATAACAATAGAAGGAAGTTGGTAAAATAGGATTTAGCTACTTATAATGAGATAACCGCTTCATTCACGAATTCGGCGTTACCTCAATTACGTTTTATCTGCCAGATTAAGTGTAAAATGATACGAGTAGATTGGAAAAGTGTAACACTTTTTGAGTGTAAAAATATTATTACACGCTTAAGAGAAAATACTTAATACAGGCTTTGACAGAGTAAACAACACAATTAAAAATCCTGTATATGTTGTAATTGAGGTTGTATACTATACTTAAGTGAAATTATATATATACGAGTTATGCTTATAAAACAATATTCAAACATCGAAGAATATGTCAAATATGTACTGCAAATATTTGTACATATTATATGTAATCATTAAAATATATGCATTAATTTCTTATTGAAAAATTCGACTTCGACTTTATAGACAATAAATGTTTTTTTACCTCCCATTATTAACATGAACTGTTAAAATACGGTAATATCTTTATAAGTAATGCTTTTTGGAAATTACAAAATTGATAAATCTTAATTTGTTGTACAAGCATGACGTTTCTATTTAAAACAGTCTGGTACAATGTATTTCTAACATTTTTTTATCTTCAAGCAATGCAATAGATACTGAAAAAAATTGGGATTGTCGAGTGAACTGAAAATAAATGTGTGAAAAAATTAAGAACCGATTTCATTGGCCCGGTCTGAATTAATACAAATTCCTACCTCGTCAAGATACAGAGCAAATTTCCTCCCATTTGTTTCATGCTTTCTAACATGATGCTGATGTATAAACAAATCTTTGTCAACAACAAATCCAGTTGGGGTTTCAATTTCCATCATTATCATATGACTTGAAGTTGGACCATTCCATCTGTAAGAGGAATTTATGATATAAACATTTTCATGTTTTAGTTTAATCCTTTATTTTAAGTGGATAGATACGTCTACAATGGGCACATTTTCCATAAGTATTTCATATACTGATACAATACAATAGAAATGTTCTTGTTTTAAGAACAAATGTTGATCATGTTCTAAATGATTTACAATGACAACATTTATCAGATGAATATTTTGTTCTAGAATATTTTATTTTCTGCTATATAGTCAAGTCAAGTCAAATAATTTATTGGCAAAAATAAATACATGTTCATCGCCAAAATACATGGAATCAGAAAATATGAAACAAAATCATGACAAATATTGACTTTGGCACATGTCGACTTCTGCTTCAACTGTAATTTCTTTAATCACAAGTTCAGTTATACTTTACATATCTGTTCGTATACTTGTGTATTAATATTGGACAATTAATACATTAATTATAAAAGTTTGTTTTGAGCAAAAAGCTGTTGTCGTATTTTACTAGGTGATACTTTTAACAAGAAAGTTAAGTCGAAGTACAGCATTTCTTACATGTTTTATCTATAAATGTTTTTGTCAATTTCAACCTAGATTTGTTTCTGTGTAAGTTTATTATTAAAACTGTTTCCTCCATGCTTTATCGGCAAGTAAAACACGAGTGTTATCTTTCATTTCAGTACAACACTGTTTTTGGCCTTAAATTTGTAAAAAAGCTGAATATAGGTTAAAAGTCTTGAACGATAGGAATAAACACACACACATTTTTGCACAAAAGTCTATAATGGATAGATATTTATTTATCATTTCAGGCTGGTTAGCTTTTGCAGCACCACGGTTGTGCCTGTGTAACTCTTCGGACAGTACCTGTTCCAAACGGCTCGATGAACTTGAAAAGAAGATTGACTCGTACTCAACGCTGCAGGAAGAAGTGATAACGCTAAAGGAACATGTAAAGAAGCTAGAAAAGAGACATTTGAAAGAACACTCAAGGATAGCAAGTGATGTTTTATCACTGGGCCCTGGTAGGAACTTTTTTTTTGCAGTTACCTTTTTAAGAAAAAAAATTACCAATTATTTATATACCATATGTGAAGGGATAGAATAGATCTCATTCTAAAATTGATCGAGGTACTGAAGTGTAATGTTTCATCTCCTTTGTAGCACATGTAAGCGCAATAATCATAGCTTTGTCATCATAGCTTTGTTTAAGCATTTTCAAAAATGTGAAAGATATTCTTATTTGGAAAGTGAAAGATCTATTGCACATGACTCACATTCTTTCTTGAAAATAATCACTTCTCTTTCAAAACAAAAGTCATATCTATACGTTTTTCGTATGTTTTTACAAAATTATCTTTTCAATGTTGAGCGATCTATCTTTAAACAAGAGGTGTTTGTAAAACAAGCTTGCCCGCCTCCCCCACTGCCCCTCGTGTTGGATGTTACGTGCAATGTTGTTTGTCAACCGTTTTGGCATACAAGGTCAATGTGATACCAGGTCATTTTGACCTTAGCTGTTAAGCCCTTGACCCTAGGTTGCCATGTATTTAGTCGTAGACCTTTTTCAAATGCAAGCTCAATATGAGCCTGCGACCCAAAATCGGAACCATGTGGGACGCACTAACGGGCCGACAAACCTCATGCTGCAAAACAATATGTCCCGTTTTCTTCGATGGGAGACATAGTAAAGGAAAGTCTTTTGTGATTTCATTTAATGTAATTTCTTAAATTATTTGTTAATTTTGTTTATATATATATATTATTATATTTTTACATTGTATTTATATCAATATATTGCTGTTTCTAACCAATACATATTAGGTAAGCGGTATTTGGAACCCACAACAACGGTTGCGTTTTCGGCATTTGTTGACAACAATCCCAGCGCTATTGGACTTGAACAGCCAGTGCCATTTAACCGTATCTTGACAAACGTAGGGGGTGGCTATAACCAACATACCCATGCATTTACATGTCCGGTGACTGGTCTTTATATGTTCACATTCACGATTTCTCATTTCTACGTCACAGAATTTATCGCAAAGTTAGTTGTTGACAATCAAAATATAGTTGATGCCATTTCTCAACCATCTATACCCTTGGAGGAAATACAGGGGATGAACACAGCAATTATCCAAGTAAAACATTTCATGTTCTTTGTACTGAAAAAATCACATTTGTACTCGGTAGAATCAGTAGTGTTCTATCGAATTAATGCACCATTTACTGCAAATTTATTTTATTTAAAGATGTGATTATTTTACTTTACTATTTGGTCGTATCTTAACCGGGTTTTTGCCAAAAATAATCTTCAATGCTTAATAATATATGAAAAACGAAAACAAACGCCCCCTTACAAAATAATTAACTGCCGTTTTCAGATACTTGATAAATAATGAAATGCCGAATTGCCCAGTTAAGCGAATACTTTTATGCAATAATAGTGCTAATACACCGTCAGGCTTGGAGTTTAATGCCACCTCATAATTCTGCATTTTCCTGGCATTCCAGAACGCCTCACGTACTCTAATAGTAAGACCAGTTGATAGATATAAAATGTTAATGTATTGCATTTAGCATTTAAGCATCTCCGAACTTGTATATGAAAAAGGCACACTATAAGTTTGGTAAATAATAATAATAATAATTACATTTTAGTCGAAGTTTGCAAAACTGGCAACTTGATCAATTCTATATTATCATCAAATTACTGCTAAGGTCTCTAAAATGATTAGGAAAATTTCAACAAGAAGAGAACGTACCATCAACGGAGTTTCTGTTTAATATCAATGATCTGTAAAATAATGCAGAATGTTTATATTAAATAGTTGCAAGCGCTTACTTTCTATCCGTTCAATCGTATAAGTGTTTCATGATTTGAGTGTATTTTAGGGATAAAATATATCATATTTCATATTTTATCATACGTTTCAGTAAATCGTGAAATATATTTTGATAATTTCACAGTGAAATCATCAAAATAAAATTTCGCTGTGACCGAACTAGTTATAAATTGATGAGTGACTTCTTTGATATATGGGCATATTTCATTTTAGGTAAATAAAGGACAAAGTGTATGGGTTGCGGTATACTATCATAGCGGTATAACCATTCGCTCGGACAACACATACCGTTTCGCAACATTCTCTGGATTTCTGATACAAGCCTAAAAAAGTCTAATCTAATATTTATGTACCTCATGAAACATAAAAAATATCAGATTTCTTTTTCTTTTTATGTTTTCTTTCTTTTTTGCCGTGTTACTTCCGATAAGTTGTGAAAGAACCTTAGATTATATGTAGATGAATTGTGTCATGTGTTGCCAACGCTGAAAAGTTGTCTTATAATTGTCTGATGACATTCACATGACAAATGAATATTCTATTTTAAAGACATAATATTATAGTCGATGTCAATTAACAGGAATCATGTCTCATCATATATCTTTTTTCTCGAGTAAATCTGATAAAGGAATGTTACTTTAAAAGACGGCAAGGTTATTTTTATTACACGCTATATTTCCTTTCAAAGTGCTTTGTCAATGTATCAAGTTTGAAGAAATTCCCCCAAGATCTTTAGGAGATATGCTTTACATAAATCTGATAAACGAATCATTCAAAGTAGGCTAGATAACGTTATTGTACCTACACATTGCACTTCCTCCCAATGTGTTCTGTCAGTGATTATAGTTTGAGAACTAATCTTTCAAGTTCTTTTAGAGTAATAATCCGGAAAAAAAAACTTTAAAAGTAAATCTGATAAAGAGAAATTACTCTAACAGAAGGTAATATAGAGTTCTTTAAGGTAGACCATGGGCCATGTGCATTTTAAGGAACGGTAAAATTGACAACTTAAGAAAGTTATATGTCTTAAAGGTCACCTGTATGCAAAATTTAAATAACATTTACAGTGTGGTTTATGAGTTATTATATATTTCTAAACTAAAACTTTGCTATTAGAAGGGCTTTTTCAAAAATGACGAAACTCAAAATAATCTATACTATCATCATTATGAAAAATGTTTACCTATTGCTCATTGTTAAGAAACAAATAATACCATTCAAGTAACAAATAACACGAGCAAAATGATTGTTTCCAAACAAAATATTTTTCATATGTATAAAAATGTTCCCTACCCCACCCACTTTAAACACTAATTTGACCATTTCCCTATATAAAAAGCCTTACTTAAAATATCCCTAAAATTTACCACAATGAGGTGGGTTTTTTTCAAAGTTTGCCTAATTTTTTTAAAAGTATACTGTTTGATCCTGCGAAATATAAAATACTTTTACAGTGTGGTTTCTATTTTATTAAACTTTGAAAATATCTGGTATCATATTTGCTATTAAATTTGGCATTACTTAGCAAATAAATATCGAGAATAATTAGATATAATGAAAATCAAAAACGTTTTTCTTCCATAAGGGATCTGAGAGATACATAAATAATGTAAAAAGGAAAAAATGAAAGGAAAAAAGTTGCCCTTTCTGGGGTTTGAACCCACGCCCCTCAATTTCATTCTATTTGACAAGTGATCTAGCCTATTTCAAAGTGGAGGTAATGCATTACATATGGTCTACCTTAAGAGTTATACTTCGAATGAAGTTTTTCAAATAAATCTAAGAAAAGGAATAACTCCTAAAGTAGACAAGTAAGAGTTATTTTACTTATATCTCGTACTATGGTATAGTTTAGTATAGCATAGTACGTTTAAAGTTATTGCTCCGGACAGACTTTCACAAGTAAATTTTATCAAGGAGAATAACTCAAAATGTAGGCAAGTTTACTGCACTGTCTACCAATGTGCTATGCCAGTGTGTTAGATTTGAAAAGAATGCCCTCAAGTACTTTGTGAGTAATGATTCGGACAAAGTTTTTCAAGTTAATTTGACAAAAGGGAATGACTCTAAAAGAAGGCAATGAGGAGTTGTTGTACTTGGACTCCGAACTTCCCCTAGTTCGCTTTTACAGTATTTGAAGTTTGAAAAAAAATCGCTTGAGTACTTTCAAAAGGTATGCTCCGGACAAAATGGGGACGGATGCACGGACGAAACAGACGGAGGCCAGTTCTTATATTCCCTTTGCCTTTGGCGACGGGATAAAATAGAGAATGCGAAGTATGTGCAATTATTGTTGTAAATATTTCGACATAAGCTTTGTGTAAAGCATGTGTCAGAATGACATATGTTTTTTTTTTAAACAAAGACCATTGTTTTCACGTTTATAATTATTAAATGCGTATAATATAAACATTCTGTGGAATAGCATGATAGTGTCGCGTGTGGAGTTTCCGACGAACACATCTGCAGGAATTTCACCTACACCAAAATCAATTTTATATGAAGTTTTGCCTATACCGTTGCTTGAAGCATGTTGAAGATGTGTGTATGCTGTAAAACAGGATGGGTAGGAGGGGTGGGGGTCGGGTTGGTGAACACGAGTTTGCATGGAACATTGCAATCCTTGAACCGCTAAAGCCGGTGCTATATGGGGCGTTAGGGATGTTGCACTTATCCATTTTCCCTCATCTTCTTGCCCTTGACATAGTATACATTTGCAAGTTTTCAAATTGCGTGATGCGTATTTCAAACGTATTTAACCCGGAGTTTACAGGACTGATGGTCAGCATGTACCTGGGGGTTGCTTGTGGATTTATTTATCATTTGTGGAGTAACTGCCATTGACTTGGTTACAAATTTGCAGTTTTCAACTTTTGCCACAGGTGTGTCAAAAAGTATTTGACATAGAGTCACGAAACTTTACAGAAATGTTGGTCATCATTTGCAGCTGTTCATCTGGAGTTTGCTTGTATATTCAGTATTTGTAGAGAAATTGACCTTTACTTAGTTAAAACCAATTCAAAATGTTGTGTCACGTTTACCTCTAATCTTGCTTGAGCTAGAATCACAAAACTTTACAGGAATGTTGATCAGCATGTACAGCTGGACACCTGGGGTTTTTTCGAGTGGATTACTTAAGTTTTGTTAGAATTATTGCCCTTGACTTGGAATAAGTTTTCAATTTTTAACGTGTGTGTTGCGTAGCGCAAAAAGTATTTGACCAAGAGTCATGAAACTTTACAGAAATGTTGGTCAGCATGTGTAGTTATGCATCTGCGGTTGGGAAATATCAAAATATAAACATTTGAAAAATTAGATATCGTTTTTATGCCCCTAACCACTTAGGGGTAGGGAAGTCTTGTATAATTTCCTATGTCCTTCTTTCATACTGTCTTGCTGTACGTCAGTAGACATTGGAGAGTGGTGGCACCTGTGTCCTATGGACACGTTACTAGTTATTTCTGTTTCTGCCTGCTTAGTAAATGAGTTATATTTTTACTTGTTTTATATAAATTATATAAGTAGAACATTAACTGCAACCCTTGTATATTACAAACTAGTAAATGTTTAGTTAAAATCTTTCTTAAATGTCAACAGAATTTTTTACATCAGATTTGATAATCACCAGATAAATTTGAAAAAAAATACAATAACGACCAGATTGCATGTTTATTTGACCATTAAGTGTATCACAAAATAACGTTTGCCGATTTCGATTATTTTCCAATCCTAATCTGTAATAGAAATGAATTTTGATAATTTAATGTTCTACATTTTAAAGTTATCATTTAAAAGTAATGTTAAACAGCTTTTCCGACATCCTCTGGTGAGGGAATATTCGTTTATCAAAAATTGCAAGGAAATGCAAATTACTTTAGCTGTGAATAATATCACAAACAAAATGCTTTAATTGCACATTTTACATCTTTACAACACTTTATTTTTTCGAAAAACAAAATTTTTCACTTATTATAAATACACTTTTATTTATAACTTTAAGAACATATTGAATATAACACTTAAACAACACAATACTATACCTTCAGAGATGCCTTTAACATATATAACTCTTTAACATTATATTCAATAATATGCTCGCGATCTTCGCGACATTCCCGGCGACAATAAAGTGCGACGAACTAATGAGCTTTTAAAACACTCAAATCTCAACAATAGTTTTTCTTCGTAGTAAATTCAGATTCAAAACTGAATATCCAAGTCACTTTTTATGATTATGATAATATTCTGCATACTCTTCAAATTCTTTTTATATATTCCTGAAAAGATCACGCATATTTTCTCCAAGTTCTGCGTGATTAATTTTTCCTGAATATCCAACAGATGCAGAACATGTCACAGACTTTCTTGTATTGTTTTTATATTTCTCTGTCTTATTCAGAGTTATGTTAATCGAGGTTACAATAACTTCGACAAACTCTGATTCATCGTTACTACTTAAAGTAATAACATTTTCACTGTCAACTGTGACTTGTGATATTGAATTGTCGGTACAATGGTCACCTTTAAGTACTTGCTCATCTTCAGTAGAAGTCTTATCAAAATTGACATTTTTGTTATCACCCGAAGTAATATGTATAGAATACTCAGCATTTTCGTTTAAACCAGACAAATTATTATCAGCAGTTGCATCCAAAGTTGAATTATCCTCATTCAGATTTGTAGTTGGTGCATGTGTAACATTGTCAACAGTTTCTTGTTCAGAACTATTGGAAGCTATTAAACCGCTATCCTAATCCAAAATATCATAAGTATCATAGGAAGTGTGTCCAATGTTATCATTTCACTTCATGGTAACACTGTGATTATTATCAATCAAATTATCTACCAAGATATTATATGCTGGGTAAATATCAAAGTTATCGATGTCAAAACTGTTGATAACTGTACATAAGTCCGTTTCAGCATCAGATATATCCTCACATATTTGATAATACTGCTGTTTATTTAGAATATTTTTTGTATCCTGACATTCCAATGGTGTTTTTGTTCACATTTTGCTATTTGCATTTCTAAATCAATGTTATATGCTAGTTCTTGTGCTTCACTAGTTTTACTTTGTGAACGTTATGCAAATGACTGATAATGTTACTTCTTCTCTTTAAGATAACTTTACATCCAGTAACTGAACATTTTAACACGTCTATTTGGATCATGATTTTCTTTTTCATCTTTTTATGCCTTTTCAGCACTTTTGTCCATCGACACAGAAGATATTATTCTCAACGATAATGGTCAATTTTAAACTTCAACATCAATATAAACAAAACACCAGGCGAAACAAACATCAAAATGATTACCATTTTACATCTTTCGACACATTCAAAATTGGCTATTAGCTTTTGCCGCGCTCTAAATAAAGAAATCAACATATAACCGAATAGCCAGACTGGTTCTCGCCTTCAAAGCGCGGCGTATTTGAATACGGCAAAGCTAGAAGCCAAATTTGAATTTGTCACGAGGATGAAATAAAATAAAATGGCCGCCATTTTTTTCTTGATTCATTTTTAATTTCGAAGCTCACCACGGTATGGCATCACCAGAGTACATATGAAATCCATGAAATTAGTTATTTGCACCCTGGAGTGCTTTTCGCGTATAAAATATCTTTTTGTTGAAAAGTCAAAAATAAACTTTCGTTTACATCGGAAGTGATTGCAGTGTGAATAATTATGTGTTCAACTGAAATATGCAGACGATTAAAGCATGCAACAAAGGATTATTTAACAATTTTAATCAGTGAAACATTACGGATATGGTGTACAGACATAGAATATCATCGTTATTTTGTAAAAAAAACCATACGAAGAATATCCTGGATACACAAGGATCATAACCGTATAAATGGGTTTGTGTTTTGTTTTCTAAATAAAACACAGCTTATTGTATGTTTATGACTGGTAGATATCATCATTTGCTTCAAGAATAAAAGAAAAATAACTTTTCAAGTAGGCCTACAGTATACTTTAAACATGCAAGGTAAGGACAGTTTAGTTATTGTTACTCTTGGTTTAATTTTTTTAAGTTTCATTTAGTTTACAATATCAGATCATCACAGTATTTGTTCGGGGTAATTAAATAAATAACACGTGGGTAAACTCATAATATCCTCGCCATTAAAATGTAAACTGAAACCGGAAAATTATCATTTTACAATGGCTGCTTAACGTAATTACACATTTTTAGTTCACGATATATTTTGCTTCAGCCCATGCAGTTTCTGACAATGAGCTTAGCATTTGGACACAGAGCCTTCAAAGGATGATTGGTAATATTTAGAAAATGACCCCTAGTAATTCGTTTTGCGCCCGGTAGGTAGAAAGTCAGGATCACATTGTTCTTGAACAGAAAACTCATTCTATAACCGGAGAACTTCTTGGCATGAATATATGAAGGAAAAGAAAAATAACGAAAGTTCAAGTGCATAGTTTCTTTATTTTTGTGCGACGGAAGACAGTCGAACGGGAATATGTCATTTCTTTGATTCACTTTCCAATCCCAATCTGTAATACAAAATCAAGTGAAATGTTTTACAAAAGATTATATAGATCTATGCATATTTGTTTTATTATTATTATTGTTATTATTGTTATTATTGTTATTATTATTATTATTATTATAATTATCATTGTTGTTGTTGTTGTTTCAAAGTTAACGTACATGTATAGACTATGAAGGTTTATTTGTTAAAATGGGAAGAAAAACAAGTGCACATACAACCCTTCCCTAAACAAACAAGCTAACAAATCTAACTAACTGACTGACTAACTAACTAACTAACTAACTAACTAACTAACTAACTAACTAACTAACTAACTAACTAACTAACTAACTAACTAACTAACTAACTAACTAACTAACTATTAACTAACTAACCAACTAACTAACTAACTAACCAACTAACTAACTAACTAACTATTAACTAACTAACTAACTAACCAACTAACCAACTCACTAACCAATACCTAAATAACTCACTAACATTAAATTAATAAAAAGAAACAAACAACAACGATAAATTCCACCAAGAGCAGCATTACTACAAGTTGTTGAAACAAAAACACAATAAAACATGTACCAAATAAGCGGTTATTTCTATTTGCCTGTATTTCATTAAATACATGCACATGTATATCTAAACATTTCAATTAACTTAAAAATATATAAATAAAACTACTTTAACAAAATACCACGCAAAGACTGACAGTAACTATCTAACCAATTGAATTACAATATAAGCTATAGGCAGTTACCTGAGAGAAACCGGAAGAACCTGTACAAAAGTTACACAATGGGCATACATCACAAATATTGGCTCTCTTTAACAGGCCAGACTCGTATCGTGTCACTGCTTGGTAGGCTGTAAACATTTATTTTGCATTTGAGAATTATATGTATTATACTTCAATATAAATTGAACTACATGTATGTCTTGTTTCATACAACACCCTAAGTTAAAAATGCTTAAAATCAATAAAATCAACATATGCACTTAACTTAAAGGCCATTCAAAGCCTCAAAGCGCTATTATTTTATTTTTTCCATATATTTTTATTTTTGGTTTTCCTGTTTTCAGTTTCTTAAAAAGTAACTCATTTGCCATATAAGTAAGCCATCTGAGTTACCTTTTAGTGATTTAGTATTTTGTATGGAGGTCAGCATAACAGTTTGTTTACATTTTTCTATCTTTATCACAAATTATTTCATATCATGTTTTTTTCTTGAGGTGGTAATTAAGCGTCTCACATGTTGTAAATCCAATTATTACAACATTATAAAAACACATGTTTTCCCTTTCAGAAAGATTTTTTTTATATTTCTGAGGCATAATTTGCCTTTTAACAGAAATGTAGCAGTTTTCAAAATAGTGTTAATTCTTTGACATGCATTGGCTTACTAGTATTTTTAAGGGCTATTGTAACTTATCAGTAAAATACAATATGTTTTTTAATCATACCAGTAATAATAAGAAACATGCATTCGACTACAAACTTGTTCTGCGACATTAATTAAAGTTCAGTGTCAATGTTCGAACAAAATTCGTCATAGCGACTATTTATACGTATACATTAATATGTATATACGTAAAGTAAACTAAAATTGCTCCTTTTACATTTTGACAATTAGTACAGTTATAATGATCTAATATTGTGAATGAAGTCAAATTCAGCGTAATAACCATCTTACATGCTCTAAATCCAGTATGACTACAATATTAGACAAATGATTGCACTTTCTAAAATAAAATCATGGAACATTCTAGTATAACTTACTGGGTTCGTAATAATCATAGACGATTATGTGACAAGCTTGATTCTTCACGACCGGGTCGGACCTGTCCATTTTAACTGTCACCACGGACTGACCGTTTTGGGTGATCTGAAAATACGTGCACAGAAAATTGCAAAATAGGAAAAAATATGAAAATACATAAAGTAGTTATAAAACAAAAATCTATTGTTTGTTTTTATTTTTTCGTGATTCTGCAGCATACGAATAATTAATATATTTATATTACAACTCTTTTTCAATATATTGCTAATATTTGAATTATATTTGACTTTCTGTTATACATGTACTGTCTGAAATAAACATCAAATGATGTCTATTTCATATAGCCAGTAATTGGCACCTGTCATACATAATATCGCGCAAAACGACAGTCTTTGTTTTTTTATAAGAAGTGATTGGGAATATGAAGTCGGATTCAAATTAATTGTGAATTTAAGTTTATCGAAATTTGTGTCAACTGAATTTAACACATGTTTTGCGGGATTTATTTGTTTCTTAAATTTCACAGGCTTTGAGTTGCGTGCTTTAGGTGTTCACCTTTAATATCTTAGTATTAGACATATGCTTGTTTAATCGTTTCTTATTTGTGTGTTTTTGGTTTTGTTGAAATTTTTGAACTTTTTCTTATCTATGTAGTATCGATTTCTAGTTGTCTAATACAATAAATGGTTAATAAGTTAACAAATGTATCTACAGATATGCTTTTTCTTTTGCGTCTAAGTATTTACAGGGCATCATGTTTTTAAAGGTAAATTGTTCTTGACCTTTTTGTATTATCATTATTGCTTTTCTTTATTGCATTCATTGAAATAAGATATCATTCAATTGTATTAAATTATACCTTACACAAATGTGTTCTTTTTTTAAATAATATAAATATATATACATGTATCGACAAAAATAGTTGTATAGTGACCGGCTGAGCCATGTAAGACACTATGACCTTTTTATCGGCTTTTATTATACAGTGAAGAACATTTACATAACGACCATTATAAAAGCTTATTGCTGAACTTTCTTGAAATGTTTTAGCAGCATAATTTCTTTTCCAAAAGTGCTCTTTTATACAATTTTTATATTGCAAAGTGCGAAATATTACAAGAAATGCGGTAGTACACAATACTTAGGATCCCGTACACTATATTGAACGGACCGAAGCCGGATTACCCAAGTGTTGTTTACTAAATTTCTGAAATATTATAGCGTTATAGCGTTATCTTGCAGACCAGTTAGTTATGTATACATGTAACCCTATATGCTTTTTCTACAAATTCCTACCTCATCCAGATAGAGAGCAACTTTCCTCCCATTTGTTTCATGTTTTCTAACGTGAGCCTGTTTTATAAAAAAGTCTCTGTCAACAACAAATCCAGTTGGGGTTTCAATTTCCATCATTATCATATGACTTGAAGTTGGACCATTCCATCTGTAAGTGGAAATATAGGAAATTTATGATATTTTTTCATGCACATGTATTAGTTTGATCCTATGTAATGATTATCTTCAAGATGTTAATACCTTGTAAAAGAGGGATTTCTTATCGCTACTCAAAATCTAAAACCGATGCTAGGAGGGTTGGACGGTAGTCACTGTTTACCATTGACACCATACAGGCTCAGACAAATCAAGCTTTTTTTCTTTTTCTTTCGGACAAAAAGGTTATACTTAATCAATATTTCATTTCAGACTTTTTCATATTTTGTACAGTTTAAATTATCATAATCAGTTTGATTATTAGCCCGATATGACAAAACAATTACTTGCATGGAACAAGCAAGTTAACAATACATGTAATCACGAAAAATGTAAACATCTTATTCAGTTTACTTTACGAGAAAAAGTTTGTTTTATTTTTTGTTGTTGTTGTGGTTGTTGTTATTTTGTGTGAAGAAATGAGGTCGTACTGTATGTTTGCTCTCACTGTTATGGAATTCAACGACTCTTTTTCTATGTCTGCAGCAACCGAAATATAAGACCCGTTGCCAACACTGCTCACATAGAATGATTGAACGACCTGTTTGAACAACATTACATAGTAATATGTATAAAATTTGAGAATATAAGTGATATAAAGAAATTTTGAAAAACTTTTTTAAATAAAAAGTATAAACAAAAATACATTAAAAGAAATAAAACGATTTCCAATTGCTCATTTTTATTTTAATAAAGTACACTATTTATAAATATATGACATAAACATACTATATAAGTATTTTACAAAGATACAAAATGTGACCCTTTTTGTCCGATTGTCTCTGAAACAGATTGTCGTTTAAATTGTTATCCAAATAAGGCATTGGTTAGTACCGGTGATTATTGATTCTTATTATAACCAATATTCCACTCACAAGAGAGTATATTTATAGTAATATCGTTTTTCAATACTTTTTTGAACGTTTCTATTTGTGGTGTTTATTTACAAACGATGGTAATTTTGGGGAAAATGGTCATGTGAACCAAAGAATTAAACATAACTATTTTTGCGTATTATCATCATCATTCCATGAACTTTCTTTTTTTACTTTTTCCCCTTTTAATATATTTTAAATGACAGATACAACACTATGCGTAGGCATGGACGTGCTTGTTAAATGCAGAATTTTAACAGAAATTGAACTGGTCGCACATGTTAACCATTAATCTGTATACCCCTGTCTTTTAAACATATTTTACTGGCATTACAAATTGATCTGAAACATTTTTAAACGTGAAACCGTAGGTATTAGCTAGTTCGCATTTTGATATTGAAATCTCTAAATTTTGAATTAACTAAAAGTATGGGACGTGTGTCCTGTAGGTTAAAGTTCAATGTTTACCATGAATGTTGAATTGAAACGGTTGTTTGGTGGTTCGTATTTTTGTAGTTTTCTTTAGCATAAATATAACAATTCTTTCAATTTTAACAGATATGTCATAGCACACTAATAACTGATATACTATAGTTTCTTGTTTGGTGTGTAATTAAAAGGTAATTAGATGTATTGCAAATAATTAAAAAAAAACTTACGTCTACGACAGCAATGCCATCTCCCATAGCTTGAACTATCACATTGTCCAAACTAGAAGGTATCTAGAAAAAAAGGCACATTTTAAAACTGACATTTAATAATTTTTATATAACATGAAATACAAAGCAGAACATAAACTTGCATAACGCGGACAAATTATATGAAACAATCATTCACATATGAAGGGTACATTTCCAGCTGACATAAACTACAGAGTAAATTGTCAACATTTTAACGCAAACTGAGGATATCTTCATGAAAAATGCAGCTTAAAGCACTTAAACGTAAGCTTTTTTTGTTTTCCCGCCCTGAAATTTAAAATTATCTCAACAAAACATCTCTAATTGTAAAATTCCTGATGATTAAACAAGCGTACGAAGTTAAGTACTAACTTTTTTAAGTAAATACTTTCCGTGAAAATGCTACGTATTTTTGTATAAGTGTTTGTTGTTAAGTTATTGATGTTAATTTTTGTTTCTGTTGTATGTTTATATATGTAAATAAAGTTATAAATAAAGCTATAAAATTCATTAACTCTTTGTAATAAAAAAATAATAACAAATAAAGTTAGTTTGAAATATAAATAACGAAAATATAAATTTCAAGCCATACCTCCACTGTGTGCAAAGAATCAAAGTTGTGTTGGGAAGCCGTGTATGAGTGCATGAAGTTCATTCCGAATGTATTGAACTGCACACCATAATTGGAAGCAATTGAAGAGTGTTTCATTGCGTATTCTGTTAGTGCTTGAATAGAAATAACTGTATCCTGCAATAAAAAAAAATGTGTACAAATGAATACAGCGCAGTGCCACTTTCACGATTTTAATACTGTTTACATGATGTGTCAAGTGTTGTATGAAAGCGTAAAATACTTTTCGATATTTCATTTTTCTGTGTTACCGTTTGATGTTCTATCTAAATCTTTGGTTTCAACAAAGGATTGAAGCTAAATTCTGCTTAAGTCGGTACAAAGTGTACACTATAAAGTTTTTACAAACTTACCAAATTAAACCAAGTCGGTATTATCTTACACTTTCCATTTCTCACTAGATATCTTCAATTTCAGACTATTCAACAAAAAATCTTACTTCTTAAGGTATTTTTCATAAAATGCACTCCTATTGCATTTGGAACAGAAACTTTATTTGCTTCAATATAATCATGATATATGCTTAATATACACGTACCTGAGTTGACGAAAACCCTCCATATGGGTTTCTTTGTGCAACAAGCCATTTAACGATTGGGAAAGCTCCGGCATGATGTCCTAAGGTCATGTATGTTAGTAACGCATAGGCCGATGTCTCAATATCACGTGCAGGAGCTCTAGTTTGCGAACTTCTTGTTATCGTCTGACGCCGTACAATTGTAGTTCTTTCTTGCCAGTAAACATAGTCACCTGAATTATATTAGATAAGACCTGGCCATTTTGCTGTCTTGAAACAAACGCGAATGTTTTTGCTTTAGGTGTACTTTGCCTATTTTGTAATAAAGAATGAATGGTAAAACACTTATTTTATAACATTTTCAGTATTTAGGTACTTTTCAAAAGCGGCACATGCGAGTAAGACAGATAATACAATATTTGTAAATTATACATTGGCTTTACGATGTAGCTATTATTGCATTTATATTTGAAGTTTTTATTTGTATGTTTGTACGAAGTCATTATAAAACAATTTATGATTCATTTATGTCTCCAGTATAAGAAAGAAAGAAAAAAATTGAATATCACATTACCATCGACATGTTTGGAATGGTCCAATTTAGTGAAGCATGAAGGACCAAAGGAACTTTTAGACAATGCCAAAGCATAACATACAATAGACAGTGTGTATGCATCGGATACAGTAGACAGTCGTGATTCCAAATACTTCTTTCCTTTGACTATTGCAGATGATACTGCGTTTGCCTAGAATACGTACATTTCAAGGTGTTCTCAATAGATGATAAATACAGCAGTATTACATACATACGCACAAACGCACGCACGCACACATATATATATATATTCAATATTAATGACAATCATATTATAACTTTCAAAGTGGATTGAATAAATTGTACTTTATATGAAAATTAATGATAAATAACTTCATTCTAATGATAAATAGTTTAGACCTGAACATTGGGTATATTCCTACATTCCATAATTGATATCAAAGTGAAAGCTGTCAGCTTTATACCAGTCCCTGTGTGCCTGTGCTGAAAAGAAGAAAAAAACAACTTACAAACACAAGTTAAATGTCAAGAAAAAATATTTTATAGGAATACATGTTTTTAAGAATATCTCTGAACTGTGCATCAGCTTCCATTCTTACGCTATGCTGGAACATTTCTTTAGAAACAAATATTTTTCCAATCAAATTTCAACAAAACAATTTATTTCGTACTCATTTTTTTCGTCTCAGTTCATTTTTTAGCGTCATGTAATTCTTATATTTCTATTATTGTGAATGTCGTTTTTTCTCGTAGAATAATATTTAAGTAACTGAAGTTTAATCATATCGAAATTATAATAGAACGTTTAAAACGACAACGTTTTGTTGATACGAAATACCCGAATCAACAGATTTGCAACCCCTTTGGAAATAACGAAAGAGATCTGAAATCCGTAAAAAAGGACTGAAAGTAAAATTCCTAATCTAAAAATACATTGACAAACATTTATTATAATCAAACAAACCTTTCAATCGTTCAGTAATATCTAAGATACATGAAAATTACCAACTTTGTATCCATTTCATATAAAGCGCAAGTTCGTTTAATTGTGTGCTTTTCGCCATTTTCATGCAAATGAGTAAACGGGATCGTGGACGTAACTGTAAGTGGTGGTGTAGTTAATGTTTGACAAAATTTAATACATCATTAAAGAAATGTAAAATATTTTTTAGGAAGATGCATGGTAATATATAACTATTATTTTGTAGGAGAAGGCATGGTTAAACAGAATTGAAGTATCTGAAATTTAACTTGATAGTAAAATAGCTTATGAATGAAGATAGTTCGTTTCCATAACTCCTTTAGATCAATTAAAAATTAGACGCGTAAACCATGTCAGAAAAATCATTCATGTTATTTAATTAATTTTACAATGCCCAATCAGAGACCGAGAATTCAGATTGTATTTTTTAATGACAAATGGCATTTTTACATATATTCATTTCTTCCCTATAAATTTTACAGGAAGTCCAACAGAAAACAGACGGCCTCCGGCCGAAAAGCAAATTTGACTCCAGATCAAAGAATTGTAATACATGAGTATTATGGAACATTTCTTTAGAAACAAATATTTTTCCAATCAAATTCTCTTAAAGCTTACACCCATCATGCATCTCATGTGAACAGTACATTCACTTTTCTTGTCTTAACATGTTTAGCATAAGAATATGTTACTAACGTCTACATAATAGACCGGTATCATCTCTCTAAAAGAGCCATCTGTATTTTGTTGCAACAGAAGCCAGTTCATGGCCGTAGTCAACACATTGCTGTCAATTGTAATCAGCGATTTAGCTTGATGGAAACATTTCAAAACATAAGCAGTTAGCCTGAAAAAGAAGAAGTATATTATGTACAATTATTATGTATAAAGAAGTGATAATAAACCGTTTAATTGTATATAAAAATTTCATATACCTCTTATTGCTTTCATATAGAAGTTCAGTTGTTTCGAATGAATCTTTCTTTCACAGAGCAATGCACACATTATCTTAAGTTTATAGTCAATACATTTAAGAGATGGCTTATACAGAAGTAATGGATGCAAACTCTTTTACGTTTCCGAACATATTTAATTAACTATGTTCACCATGTGCTGCCATACTGATCCACTCTTCCGTATGTCTTATATGTTTCACCCCAGATGCTAAATGACCCGTCACTATGTCTGTATTCTAGCTCGTGTTGATAACCTGTTGCAAAACAAAAAAGAAGTATCTTTAAAAAAGATACACGGCCGAAGTAAAACAAATTAACTTGGAAAATCATGTTATTTCTAAGTTTTCATTACAAAAAGAAATGTTAGCAGTGATTGCATAACAATGGTATAATAATTATTTCTTGTAACTAAGAAAATATCCATTTTATTAACATTGAAATGAAATTATAGAATTATTTATATTGATGATTTTTCAAAGTAGGACAACTTCAATTTTATGTGACTCTATAACTTGTTTTATGTTTGACTTTATAAATTTTGCAATTATATACAAATTAACCAAATCCTCATTTTTGTACATTTTATTTTAAAACTATCCTTTACATTTTGTTTTATAGTGACGAAAACTACCCCTTACATTTTTTTAGAGCTATCCTTAAATATCATTTTAGAATGGTAAGAACTATCCTTTACATTTTATTTTAGAATGGTTAGAACTATCCTGTACATTTTTAAGAATGACCAATGAGATACACTTATTTCAGTTTGCAATTCTAAAATGACCAATAAAAATTCTTTTTATATTCAGACCTTCCCTATTAATTTTACAGGAAGTCAAACTGATAACAGACGGACTTCGTCCGAAAAAACAAATTTGGCTCTATTAATTCTAATTAAGCGGGTGCTGTAAGCGTGATAAATGTGAAACTTTAAACTATAGGATATTTAAGATTCTCCAGTATGGGATCGGTCACTTACGTTTTGTGCAGCGTCAGTAATCTGATGTTATTATCTGGAAATGATTACTAACTTTATCCATACAAACCGTATCCGGTTGAAAAGTATTTACATGGGAAATTTAAATTCTTAAAGCTCTGGTTCATGTGATAACTTTAATTAATTTAATAAAATTCAGTGACTTTTTGGTCATAAATTATTTTCAACACACAATTTAAAAAATAATTATATTTATCTTGATTATATAAACAGAGATCTGTTAATAAATTTAGAAGATTAAACACAGATTAAACACAGTTGAAAGTAAATGTTTACTTTTTATCAAAAGTTACTGTACCTGATTTGATTGCAGATATTGCAGTGTTCTTCACATCCTCTGTTAACTGGCTAGTAACATTCATATACTTCGTTATATAAACATCTGGTGCGAAGTTAACCATCGTTTGTTCTCCGCAACCATGAGGGATTTGTATCAGTTTTTGTAGACCGAATATACTTGGTACCATAAAATTACCTGAGTGAACATGTTTGAATAATGATTAAGTGTAAAACTTTAATTTATATGAAGATAAAGAAATGTACATTAAGTTTCAATCAATTTGCGTTACAAGAGAATGAAAGCAATCAAGTAAATCGGCATGAGTTGTGTTAGTAATGGGCAAACAAATTGCGTTGACAATAAACGTCACTTTCATATTGCTTGTCGTTACGTTAAAACATGACCGGACTCTCGTCAGAGATGTGATGCTTTTTTATACCCAATTACATCATTTGTGCTAAGTAATTTTCAAAACATTATCGGAAGGGGATTTAAAAGTGTTTAAACATCGTCAAACTTGCTTCATGCGATACCTGTTATCTGCATACAAGCATTTTTGGTTCCAGGTACCATGTTTTTAGGATCTTTCAAAAATATAGTCTTTGTAAACGTGCGGATTCCACTGCTCACATCAACCAAATGCTGATCATTTACTGTTTTATGAACACCCATGGGCTAGAACAGAAAAATATTTTCATAAATATTTGTGTTAAATTTTCATTGTCCTGATTAATAAACAGTAACAAAACGAGTTGTTAACCTTTTCATAGCCAGGAATTATTTTTTAAAACTTTCTTATTTTCTTAGACTTTAACGGTTAAAAATTATTGTATCATGTGTCTGCATGCAAACACCACTAAATGCACTTTAGGTATGTTGTAAAAATAGAATTTATATTAAGTTTCTCTTTAACTCACACAATGTGATACAAAAGCAATATAAAACGTTATTGTAACGTAAAATATAGCATACTATAATTTTTATAAGCCATACAATTTATTCATAAATAATTCATATTTTACCAATACAGTAACTTCTTTTTCAATCGCATCTGTTGCAGATGTAGCAAAGAATCCTGCTTTTGCGTGAACGTTGATTTTTAGAGTACCAAGAGCTTTTGGCGTAACTCGAACATAAGTTGAATGACCTTCATTTGCACGAATCTGACCAAAATGCAAAACGTATCACTTTATTTTTTGCATAACACATTTTGTTCGGGTTTCAATTTGAAAAACTTGAATTTTGTGCAAACAGGTATCTGCCTGCTAAAAGTATAGAATAAATGAAATTAGTAATAATAATTTTCCTATAAAGATATTTGGCCTTGAAGTATGTATAGTTTTGTTTTTGCTTCCTGGGAAGCTGGAATGATAATTTCTTATCTGTGTTAACTGTTAAAATAGGGCAGCCTTTTTAGCCGGAAGAAGAACAGAATGGAATTGAAATGGCATAATTTCCATAAAAATGTATTAATCAACTCCTAAAATATATCATACCATTGTTGCTGCTTGAATTGCATTTATAGGATCATCAGACCGAACAACTTGAAGAAATACCTATAACAATAATAATAATAATAATAATAATAATAATATAAATTGCAAAAAAGTGAAAACTAAATGTTGGGAAAATGTAACCAATACTAGTACTACTATTTAAAACATAAAACAATTTATTTTTCTCTTGAATCTTAACTACATGTAAATTACTATTGTGGTAAAGTAAAGAGTAAACAGATTCCCTATAAGATTTTCCTAAAATATGTCTCAGAAGTAAGGCTTAACATCAAAATGAATTTGTTTCATGTCTTAGTCTAGCAACCCTTCATCGCGTGACAAATTAAATTATTTTGAATATGTATTATAAGAAATATTTCATTTCCAGCTAATGCCGAGAAGTTTTTCATCAACGAAACACTGTATGATTTTTGATAAAGTTTGATTTAAAGGAAAGTAAAAATTCAAAGTAAAAACGTGTGTACCTGTTGGGAAACAGACATGTAATTAAACACTGTTATTTGTACTAGTACTTCCTCGCCTAGGATCATTGATTTTGGTAAATCCATTGTCATAAAAAAGTTTTTTTTAACTGTTATCTGAAATATGGAAGAATGAGTAGGTGTACTTAAGAAACATTTGCGTTAAAGTTTTTATATTTATTTGTAAGAAATGAAAATATCTGAAGGTTTAGTGATATAGAATTGATCATCTTCAATGTGACACACTCGTGTCATTCCTAAACAAATGTGGCTTAAAGTTTTCCAGTTTAAGAGTATGCGCCCTTTAACCTATCCTTGAACAGCATTACAATGCAGAATTCTATAGTTTTAAGGTTAACACTCAGAATATCGTAGACTCATTTTTTTTCGACCTGTATCTATATATTGCATGTACAATAAGAGTATTAAATAATTGCCTTTTTCTTCGTGTCAGATATGCAAAAACCAGAATATGGATTTGTTGCAAAGACTGATGAAACCCAAGACGTTATACCATCAGGGACAGTCTGGATATCTGTGTGCATTCCGGATGCACTGAAATTATCAAAATAAAGTTAACAACTTAATTGATGAAATCATTCGACTGTAAAGAATATCATTTCTTACATTTTATTCTAGACACTTATACTAGTATATTATTGAAAACAATCAGCTTTACAGACTATATTGATTGGGCAAATCACCGATATAGTCCAATTTGTTTTGGCTTGGAACGAAGGACTTTTTTAGAAATCTAGCAATTGGTTGTATAAAAAGATAGTATAGATAATCAATTGTCAAAGTATTGAAAGCAATACAAAAGTTTTCTACCCGTTAGGACCACAGCAACACGAAAGGGTCATGACCATTTAATATGCCAATGTGGATGGCATGAATGAACTGAAATCTTTTGAGTTCATCGTTTGCTTGTATCATTGGAATCTCTTATGTTTCCATTCTTAATAAGGAAATTGTGTTTATACAACAGATAATCAAAAGATCCAATTTTTTTCAGGATTAATATGCATAACTAATGTTTCAACTTTTCTCTAATTTAAGTAAATTTGTTGGAAAATTCCAAGTTCTTTAAAAGTGATCTCAGGAAACAGTTTTTAGGGACGGACAGATAGAGGACAAGTCTTTGAATATTCCTGGTTGTAGCCAGAACATTTAAAAGCAAAATTTTTAAACTCAAGAGGAGGTAACTCTGGAAATAAAGATGCTAGACTCATACAAATCGTCATATATGATGCGAGTGGTGGTAAAGAACAATTACATGTATCTATTTAAATCTAAAATAGTAACCATTTATTGATACAAAGGAGGAAACTGGAAAGAAAAAACAATTTGTACATATAAACCATTTATATTTGCAAAGAAATAAAACATAATTTCAATATGAAAATAATTATGGAAACCCAGGCACTTGACTTATAAATCGAATCGCATACGATGGGTATGATAGGATTGATAATGAACATATATTTGAAATTTGAAACGGATTTTTAATCAGAAAAACATACGTCACCCACGTATGTACTCTAAGGATTGAACAGCAGCATGTAAATTCCGCAAGCGTTTAACACAAGATTATTTTCTATTTTTAGCTCTGAGGGAAATGTTATGCAGAACGTACCAGTTATTTGCACAGTTGTGGTTGGTACTGACAACTCCTTTGACTTTTAATTGAAATCCAAGCAGCAGTTTGATCATTGATACAGCTAAGGTTAATACCGATCACTCCAGTATAATGTCAGCGAATTTTCCCCAGCAGTTTGACACATAATAGCCGGACAAGACTTTTTTTTATATTTTTAGCTCTGGCAGTCATCTTGTGCATTGAAAAAAAGGTGCCAGCAATTTGCAAATTAGGATAGTTTGACCAGTGAAAGACAAACAAGATTGTTCTTTTTTTAGTGCTGGCGCCATTTTTAAGTTCTACCATTTTGCGCAGAATGTACCAGTTATTAGCATAATTTTGGTTGGAACTGACAACTTCTGAGATATTTCATTGAAATTCAAGCAGCAGTTTGATCACTGAAAGCCGGACTTTTGTCCGGTTTACACTGTTGAAAACCCGGGTTATGACATGGTGAATGTCGGGCGGCAGGAGGCAAGCGGGCGGATGGTCGGTTGGGCGGGCGGTGAAAGAAATTTCGTAACGGTTTACTCATCAACTACTAATAACAGTCTCTTGATACTTGGCATACAGCATTATTGCTTTCGTACCGTGGGATTCGATTTCAGGTCTGTCGTTCATCCACTTCCTGTTTACCAACTTAGTTAAATTTTCGACATTAAATGTAAATGGTATGAATTTTTCATAACCGTTTCCCGCAACTACTTATCATACTCACAGCCTCTTGATATTCGGTATACAGCATTTACACATGGTTCCATACCGTGGGATTCGCCCTTGATATTTTGTTTAACATGTGGTACCATACCGTTGGATTCGATTTCAAGTTTGTCGCTCATCCATTTCCTGTTAACTGACTTAGATAAATTTTCGACATTAATGGCGAATGGTAGAAAAATTTCAGCCTCATGATATTTGGTATACAAATACAACCCGGTTGACCCATTTTTTTATCTTTGGCGGCCATTTCAGCAAGCGAAGCGGAACTTGCCGGCGATATGCACAACTTACGTTGGTACCGATCACTACTGTAGTGTCAGCGAATTACTTCCAGCAGAATGGCCGGCAATATGCTAATGTAATATGCAGGGTTTATACTCACAACTCATGTGAAATTTTGAATGTCGAATTCCCGCCAGAGGTTTGACCTGTGAAAGACTGACACGGCCATATTGTGCAGCAAGCGGAACGTGCCAGCGTTATGCACAGCGAGGAACGGTTCTGATCACCCCTGGGAAGTTTCGTCGAAATCCGGTCAGCAGTTTGACTTGTGAAAGTCGGACAAGTTTTTTTATTAATGGCCCTGGCAGTCATTTTCTGCAGCAAAGCGGAACACGTCGGCAATATGAACAACTAGTGTTTGTACTGATCGATCCCCGTGACGTTTAGTTGAAATCCCTCCAGGAATTTGACCTATAAAAGCCGGACACGCTAAATGCGGACGGACGGACGGCAAAGGTAAAATCATATATACGAGAAATAACAGTTATAGAATAAATGAGGACGATTCAAAGAAATGAAGAAATCTGAGTAAAATATAATTACTTCTAGAAAAAAGTTCAATGGGACATAATTCTAGAAATAGTCAAGCTATTGTATTCAATCTTCTCAGAAAAGTTATAGAAAAGAAGCATTTTTTTCATGAAAAGTCTAAGTTCAAGGGAGGTGATTTTGATAGTGTTAGTGTATGAGTTATGAACATTGTCACATATGATGTGGTTGATAATCAGAAACATCTGTTTGAAGTAAATGCCTTAATAAATAAAAAGTTATAGTGAAAACGATTTTACTGCGTAAAAACCTTGGAAAATCTGGACGCGGAATCCGACACTTGGTTAGTAGGACAGCTCTCAATATACTTCCTGTAGTAGTCGAGCTTAAAATAATGTGCAAAATACCGCAATCTCTCCAGCTTAAAAGGTTCATAAACAAATTTCAAGTACTTTTCTTTTTATATGAATATTGTTATTTTTGCCATATTTAAGTCTATAGCACCCGAATTTTATAACAAAGGGAGAAAAATAAAGATGTGTATAATCTCAAGATTGTCATCTAACTTTCATAACAATATATGTAGCTTTTTGCGATATCACGGGATCCAATCTTTTAGTTATACTTGCCATGTTTTAAAACTATTTATTGCCATAGAAACTAAATGTTACAAAACAGGAAGAAGAAAAAGACATGCAAACATTCCAGATAGCTACTTTTTGCGATTAAGTGGTTTTGTTATTTGTTTTGGACGGACGGATTGACTGAATGACGGTTAACCTAGAGTCCTCTCCAGTTAAACCGCCAGCGGACGGATAAGCATACGAATGCACATGTACAAATTAATGATGCCTTACAAAACAACATTATCTATCGAAATTCTTTAACTCTGGGTACATCTACCCGATTAAAAGACAATCAGGTGAGGTAACAAATGGTAAAAATATTTTTACAATGTGTTAAGGCGATAAAATATTACCCTATAAGATATTCTTCCCAAAGCCATGTCTCGGGAAATCTAGTGCGTATTATTTCTTTTGCAGCAATTGAATCTGGAAGTGAGCAGTTGCTATATGTAAGCTAATAGTCAATGGTAAAATGTTAGAAAGTGGATATACATGTATATAAACATGTTAATAATAATAATAAAAAAAGTTCTTTAAAACTTTTTTTTGACTAGAACTAAATAAGCTGAACGGCTGGAAAAAGTGTAGCATTTGTTAATCAGAACCTAGCTAGTGGCATATAATATGGTGAAAGAAAGAAACATATAAAACGAAAACATGCACGTCAAGCAAAGACTTGTATATTATGTTTATATGCACAAAAAATATATTTTGACACAACAATTACAAGAAGAAATATCACTAAATGATCAATGTTTAAAAAATAAAGCATAAACTTTCACCTGGAATGGTTGTGGTAAAAGATCCTGGAAGTAAACATGAAGGAAACATGTATGTTTTAATATGTTGTTTTTTCTTATACATTAATAGTGCTTTATTTTAAAGTCGAGCAATTCTTGATTACGAAGTGTCTTTTTTTGAAATTCAGAAGACAAAACAAACAAACATGCATGCAAACTAACACCGCGTTTCTGTACGAGTCAAACGAAACTCTTGAAAAGTAAATTTCTATGATCACTTTGAAGGCTCATTAAAATAGGCAAAAAGCTCTATGTATTTATATATCTATTTATTGTGAAAATAATAATTCTGAAGGTGTTTTCTTCAATGAACCTTTGCCAAATCACGTAAACCCTGGATGAGAACGTTTTAAACCCATGATCAGGATTTGAAAACAAAATCCTATTTGTGGTCCATTTTAAGATACTACACGCCAAATATCTGAGCTATATTCCTTGCAGTTATAGAGGAAAATGTTTTATTTTCTATGTGAACGAGAATTTTTAATTTTATCAGTGTCATTATTGAACGTTAACAAAATAAATCCTTTTTTGTTATTAAGCATAACAGTACGATTGAGATATATTATATATCATACAAATTTAAAATGTGCAAACTCATATTTTCAATCACTCTTTTCATTTTGCCTTTAGGAATTTTTGCTATAAAGTTAATTACTGCATTTACATATAAGCATGATAAAATTATCCAAAATACTTGTTACCTGTACAAAAGTCTATTATGAACCTAAAGTAAATACGGGGATGTATTAATAGAAAATGTTTTTTATTAATACATTTTTGTATTTACTTTCAGGTCATATTATAATTATGTACAAGCTAGTGAAATTCGAAAAAAAAACACGTTTTAGTATGATGCATAGTAAAATAATAAGTCTATAAGATATTACCTGCAGCGGATGTAGGTGTCATCCCCCAAAGCAGGGCTGGCACTGACAAAAATCATTTAAATCTATGGATATGTAAATTTCAGTTCTAACTGCAACAATATGTATTCTTGGTTTAAAAGGCAGTGTGAGAAATTTATTTTTTATTATTTTGGTGCAGAATAATAAATAATAAATAATGAAATTGTGTTAAAATTCAAACGCAAATGATTAACATATTATTCGTCACATTAATTAGCTTTCTTTCAATAATTCGGTACAATTATTTTGTTAACATCATCATCACCATCATCATCATCACCATCATAACATCATCATCATCATCATCATCAATACTTATAAAAAATACTTAAAACAGAACATTTACACGTTATTGGCAGCATTGGCGCCCAATTCTACAAATGTCATGTTCTGATGTGAATAAAGAGATTGGAGCAACGCACAAATTACACAGCCCAAACCCCACAAAACTATGTCGCAAAGGGAACAGTGCTAAAGAATATGCATCCATTTAAAATTTCTGCCTTATTTTCGCATAGAAATTAAGGAAGAACTTAAACGTTTAATTGCAAATTCAGTTAAATATTCATTTTATCAAAAACAGCTGACAATGTGCATACATTTTTAACAATAAATGTATTCAACATGTGCAAATAAAACCAGTTCTAAAATGTTTCTTCTTCTTCAAAACAAAATCATGTTTTCTTTCAAGATTTCAAATCGTTCATATCAAATCCGTTGATAATAGCAAACAAAAGTTTTATCATAATTCAATTTATAAATTGAAAAACTGAGATGTCTACTTACTCGCAGTTGGCGGTGGGGTTGGTAAAAAACCTTCAAGTAACGACAATTGAGATATTGGTAAGATTATTTGGTAAGTCATTTTATTTACTACACAACCAGCGTGATATATAGAGGATATATGTTTGTTTGTGTGTAAGATGAAATTTTATTTCATCAGTGAGCTTAAAAAACAGTATTCTCACGAGTGTCGTAGTTTTTAAAGGTCACGAGATGAAATAAATTTACATCTTACACAACAAACCAACAAATTTTCTTTTTATTTTATGCTTAAAACAAGTTTAAATGAAATTTTCTTAATATTAACTTTAGTATTAAAATCTGTTTTCTCCAGTGGTAGCCTCATTTAGTAAAATTTCTTATAAAATACAAAAAAGTCTTGGGCTGAAAAATAAGTTCGACAATCAACGTCAAATGGCGATGATAATCAATTTATTCAAATAATATGAATTATCGCTTGTTTAATAATAAAAACACAAACAATACTAGTAGGAGAAAATGTCAAACCATCCATCCTTATTTCTGTTACTTATGGTGAATTTACATTGATTTATATTAGACCTAGCTCTGTGAAATGTAAGCGGCCGCCGTTTTTAAAAGTTGAGTATTTTACGGGAGGAAAATAATTGTGTTTGATTCAGAGGGATATCAATTGGATTTGTTAGTCATACATCTTTTTAGAAGAAAGAAAACTTATTTGATGATTGTTACAGACAATACATAAGTGTTAACCGATGTATAAACATTCAAAAAGCGGCTAGGAAATTGGAAAACATGGACTTTTTGAAATGCTGCCTTACGAACGCTGGGTTGTTTACTTATTCTTTTGGCTGATGGCTGTCATTGCTTTTCAAGTTATTAGGCAGTAATTGCTCGTAGGATACTTAAATATGCCTAAATGCCATCAAGAACAGTTTTTGCATGTGGAAGGAAATGTATTTTTCAGACTGTAAAAATGAAACAAAAAATTAGAGACAATATTTGGTGATTGGTAATTTGAATGAATTGAAGTAAGTTTTTTTTTCTTTTTTTTATTACTTTTGAAAATTCAGTTATTTATCAATGTCAGCTTTGATTTTCTCTAAACAGCCCTGACAATGTCAGAATTGTCAACAATAGTAAAATTGAGGTACCTATCACATGGGGAAGATCTTCATCTTAACTTAAAAATAAGTCTCATCATTGAAAAGTGTGAAATTATATTTTGATAATTTTCACTGTGAAATATTCAAATATAATTTTCACGGATAAATCAGTAATCCACTGAAAAGCATAAAATAAATTGCCTTTTTACATGAAATAAAACAAAACAAATTTATAATGAAAATTAATACAAATATAGTAACAGATATAGATACCAGGTTACATAATTGAATTATAGTTAAACACAAAAGAAATACTAATACTGAGGTGTTGCATGACTTCGTTGATGTTATTGAACTCGTTTTATTTTAGAAACATCATCCAGAAGAACTTGATTGTCAATAACCACATTTGATAATTATATGAATGTATGTAAAAATACTAAAAACATTGTTTAACGACATTGCTAACGTTATCTAGAAATTCTTTATATCGATTAACTCAACTGGGTTTAAACATATTTATTTTAGCTTGACTGCGAAACAAGTTCTCGCAACTTATATTAATCACTTTCGAGTCAGCTTCCATGAACCGACCAATACTGGTGTTATATGAAGAAACATAGTCGTGACCCGAGTAGGGTTGAGAGGCAGACACCTTAACCACTAGGCCACCGCTCCCCTTATTAATGCAACTGCTGTTACTGATGGTTTAATATGTTATTAGATAATCTTTATGTAAAGAAGTTTATTTATTTTCACAATATTTTACTGTATGCTACTTATATATGAAAAAAAATTTAATTGCATTATCTTAAGCATAATTACTATGTACATTATAAAGGGATCGACCAAAAGTTATAAATTCTTAATGGCTAATCGGTGACACAATTCGTCAAACTTATTTTAGCGGGGAAGCTGTCTAACAAAAAAGAAATAGCGATAAATGTTTTATATACTTCTATAAATTGTAAGTATCGTTTTTACTACAAAATAAAGAAAAGTAAAGAAAGTAAATTCGATGAATACGTTAATACGAATTATCTATTTACCATTAACATTTCCTTTCATGTGAAGTTAAGGGAAATTGATTTTAGAGTTCATGACTGCATTAATATAAATGAATGATTATACTATTTTAAATACTTTAGAACACTAGTTTATTTGACTATATATGTTTTTCCACTTACTTTCAGTTCATAATATAATTTTGTAAATGCTAGTTAAATTCAATGCAAATAGCATATTAGATGATATATAATAAAATGATAAGTCTATAAGATATTACCTGCAGAAACTGTAGGTGTCTTCCCCCAGATCATCTCCGGAACTAACAAAAATCATTTAAATCTATGAATATGTATTATTCAATGCTAACTTAAACATGTATTGATTTAGAAATTAGTATGAGAAATTTCCTTTTATTTCTGAGGACGAACTTGAGTAAAAATTCTAATTCAAATGATTTTACATATAACTTATCACATTAGCTTAGTTTCAATAATTCTGTACATATAATGCATCATCATCATCATCATCATCATCAATAATAATAATAAAGACAATTGAATCACAAATACGTAAGGCTAAAGTATCACAAACACTTAATATCAAAAATGTATCAAAATTACTTAATACAGAGCGTTTACATACTGTTAAATGCATTACTGCCAAATGTGACATATGTGAATAACAGAATTATGACTTGACTTGGGTTAGACCATTTTAAAACTTCTTTAAAAACAAATTAAATAAAATACGATAAAAACTATTTTCAAAGAGGTAAATCTTTTCACTTAATATGTAAACAGCAATAATGTTGAAATTGAAAAGCAAAAATTTTTGTATAATTTAAGATAAATCATCCAATTAGTAATTTTAGCTATTGGAAATCATAACTTCGAAATTTATCTTTATATGCATATGGTACACGAGTTTCTCGCTTAAGAGTCTAATACATTATTATCATCCGATCTTTGAACGTTTAGTGATTTTGCGAAAATCATTAAATATTGTCAATTTCTGAAAAATCATTGCTCTACAAACAAATAACGAAAAGATGTCATGAATGTACTCGAACATATTTTGATATGATAGATTGAGAGAAAATAAACCAAACTGGTACTTACCGGCAGATGCTTGAAGAAAGAAAAATAATGAGAAAGTTTCAAACGCGCTTTTCAATACCCTATCATGTTTTAAAACAGGAACAGAAATAGAAAAAGATTAACATTCCTATTAAAGACAAACAACAATTTGCAACATATACAAGCAAAATATGTCAAGAAACTAACAATTTGCTTCAAAACGCTAATGGTTTGATTCGGGTGCGAAGCAGTCGAGTCTTTTTGGATAACGTGCGATTTACGTGCGCGCGTGTGTGCGTGCTTTGGTGCGTGTGTGTGTTTAAATTTCGGTTAGATTTGGTAACGGGTCTGTCACTTTTAGAATTAAAATGTCTGATACATGTATACTATGTTTATGCTCAAATTTGATTATTTCATTGTTGGTCATTTGCTTATTAAAATTTAATGTATCGTTTAATTGGGATAAAATTAATTAATGTCCAAGGCATTAGGTTAAACCATTACGAGCGTGTCTGCTCTGTCTATATATAAATAAGATAATTGGTGTCAGATTTCTGGCTTAATACGGCATTGACTAAATCATAACCGTCATGTCAAAGAAAACACACGAGTACTACTCTATGTAACAATACCATGTGACCTTGACGTCATTTTTGGCATTATTTTCAATATAAATATTGCTTGACTCGAAAAAGGAAATATGCGTACGTATTTTTGTACCATAATTAGTTATTGATAGTGTTTGAAAACAAATCGATAATAGCAACACCTGCAAGAGTGTTATATATTATTGATTTTGTTTGCTTTGTTGTCCAACTTTTGCAATCTATTATATTTGCTACAGTTGTTTTCTATTTGAAAGCACATTTGAAGTTTTGGCTTATCATTTGATTATATCATAATCTATTCATGGCGAACTTGTTCCCAGTAATAACATGAAAAAAAAATCTACATTTAAAATGTTATCCATTTATCGGCTTAAAATAAAAGCTCTTTAACAGTTACACGTTCAAAATCACTTATAGTTCACCGAGTTAAAATCATTTGTGCATGCGTTTTTGAATATACATGTACATCGTATATTAAATAAAAAAAAATATGGTAAACATAGTTATAGAAAGGGAACGGAAAACATACTGCTTTGCATTTGCAACCAATTCTGAAAGCTGCTTTAAACTGTAGTCCGATTTTTTCATTTGGGTAGGGACACTCATAAGCTTTATAGCTTTCTCAAGGGGGTCATACCATGCGCCCGCATCCTCAAAACCGGTATTTTGAACAAAAACGAGTCATGTAAAGCAATCAGAATATATTTGAATTTAATTTCTTTTGCAAAGAAACTATAGTTGGACTACATTGGTGGTGGATAAATTTGTTCTCGCCTCAGTTTTCTAATATCAACGTTCTTTAAAGGTTTTTTAAGTCGGTTGATGCATTCATTCGTCAGAGGCTCGCATAATATAATCGTTCAGGAAATTCAGTATTAAACTTACATGTTTATCACATACCCGTTTCGCTTTTTCGTCTCCGTAAAAATGGTATTACACGGTCGTGATTAACGCATATAACGTCACGTCAAAATATATTCACGGCCGTGCAATACCATTTTTATGGAGACGCAAAAGCAGTATGGGTATGTGATAAACATATTGAATGAGTACATCAACTGACTAAACCGAGGTAATGTTCTTTAAATTAGTTATAAATTTGACTATAAAAAGTTGGTTCTTTTAAAATGCAGTGCACGAAAAATTTATCACTTAAGGGTGTTACATAAATGAGTACATATATTTAACTCAAACCCTTTTTAGGATGTACATTTTAAACATTTTAAGAGAGCATACTTTATCACAGATTTAGAATCTTTTTTTATTTTAATTATCTTTTTTATTATTTTTCGCTCACTTGTCACAAAGTGACATGGTGAGCTTTTGTGATCGCTTTTCGTCCGGCGTCTGTCCGTCCGTCGTTCGTCCGTCCGTTAACTTTTACTTTAAATGACATCTCCTCAAAAACCGTAAAGTCAATTTCATCAAAACTTCACAGGAATGTTCCTTTGGTAGTCAACTTTAAAAATTGTTCAAAGAATTTAATTCCAAGCAGAACCCCGGTTGCCATTGCAACCAAAAGCAAAAAAACTTAAAATATCTTCTTTTAGAAAACCGAAAGAGCTAGAGCTTAAATGATTGGCATGAAACATCATTTAGTCAGTGTCTACCAAGTTTGTTCAAATAAATTCCCTGGGGTAAAAATTGGCTCCGCCCCAGGGGGTCATTGATTTTCCTTATTTGTATGTAGTAAAAACTTAAAAAATCCTCTATTAAAAAACCAAAATAGCTAAAGCTTAGATATTACGCATGAAACATCTTCTAGTGGGTGTCTACCAAGTTTGATCAAATAAAAGCCCTGGGGTAAAAAAATGGCCCCGAGTCAGGGGGGGGGGCATTGTTTTCCCTTTATTTATATAGTAAAAACTTTAAAAAAATCTTCTATTAAAAAACCCAAAAGAGCTAGATCTAAGATATTAAGCATGAAACATCTTCTAATGGGTGTCTATCAAGTTTGTTGAAATTAGTACCCTTGGGTTAAAATTGGCTCCGCCCCAGGGGTCATTGATTTTCCTTATATGTATATATTAAAACTTAAAAAATTCTCTTTATAAAAACCCCAAGAGCTAGAGCTTAGATATTTATTACGAAACATCTTCTAATGAGTGTCTACCAAGTTTGTTCAAATAAAAGCCCCTGGTTAAAAATTGGCCTTGGCCCGGGGGCCTATATACAGTTGAGCGATTTCAGGGCCATCATGGCCCTCTTGCTTTGTTTGCCAGTGTTGTCAATTTGATCCCATAACAAACTTAAACTGATCGAGGAAAAAGTAGACAGAATCAATAACATTTAAATGGGTACACAGTATCTCGATATTTTTAGAGTGTACGCAGTATCATAATGTCTATTTGCTGTAAATAGTTCGTTTTAAGACATTTTTCGTACATAGGAAAAATAACAAAGGTTGAACATATATTTGTGAAATAGATTCTACAATAAACTAACTTCCAGTTGTGTGAAACTTTCAGTTTAATCGACAATTTCTCAATTTCTGTAACATTTTAACGCCAGGTGTACTTAGTATCCAGAATCAAAATCGCATTCAACGCGAAATACTGACAAGAAAGGGAAGACTTGTGTCAAAGCAGTTGAAATATTAAAACTAGAAGTAAGAACATCTTCTTTGCAAAAGAAATTAAATTTAAATCTATTCTGATTGCTTTACATGACTCATTTTTGTTCAACGTACCGTTTGAAAAGATGTTCGCGGTATCAGAATTTTGAGGATGCGCAGGCATGGTATGACCCCCTTGTTTCTGCCCAATCCCAAAATATACTTTGTTAATATTGTTCACTTGTTAAATGTTTAAATACGTTTAAACCAATAAAACTGTTAAACAAAACGGTTGGTTTCATAATATGCAGTACTAAAAGTGATTTTTCAAATCTATTTTTTTTACAGAATTATGTCGGTTTAATCACTTCTTATAGATTTTTTTTTCTGAATCACATATAACTTTATTATCTAAAATGTTTATATATATGAAAAGTGTATAATCAAAATCATCAATGTTGGCAAATTTGGAATTTAGAGCTATCATAAACTTCAATAAATTTGCACTTAAACATGTTTCTAAATGTATGTATAAACATAATTTAGTTAATGAATTGTCACCTGAACAAACAAAGTAACATACACAGAGAAAACGTTTGGAAGAACAATAAGCTATCTTTGGAAAACAGTATAGAATAAGAGAATAAATTTTATTCAACTACTGTGAAATTAAAATTTACTTACATACAAAATGAAATGTTCATAAAATTTCCTCGGCAAACATTTTTTTTTGCATATGGAAGGTTAACTAAGATATATTCTACTAATGTCCTGGTTATAAGTCGGAAAGGTTATTTAGATGACTCCTAGCTCAAGTTCGAATATTGCTAAAACATAGTCACACAAAACAAATCTGCAACAACCTTCTCAATCCTCAAGAGGCTACAATTTCGGTCAAAATATCGTTGAAATAAGTCAGAAGAATTGTTTAGATGATTTGTTGATGAACTGGTCAAAAACTAGGTCAAACAGTCCAAATATGGATAAATTACGTTTACACTCATAAGTAACATTTTTTGCCTAAACATCATAGGCATTGGTATGAATTATGTTTAAATGATTTCTAGCTCAAGTTAAGATAATTATGCATTATTTGAAGTCGAAAATGGAAAAACCTTGTTAACAGTCAAGAGGTAACAGTGTCAGCCGAGATGTCCTGAAAAAAATTGTTTTAATGATTTCTAGTTCAAGTTTGAACATTGGTCACCTGAAGAAATAAAAACAACTAGGTTACATAGATCAAACAAGGGAAAACTTTGTAAACATTCTAGATAAAAAGAATTATTAGCCTAAATATACTGAACAGTTGTTTGAAAGATTGAAAGGATTGAAAGGAAAAAAACATGTTTCAAAATTAATGGAAATCAGTCCTTTATAACAGTCCATAATACACAGGTGCCCCCAAATTCCACTGTCTTCTGACAGGACAGTACGATAGAGGGACATATAAAGGAAATTTTATATGACTTTCAATACCTGAGTGGTTTGGAGCATAAAAACGACATCCAATTTTCGCAATTCTGACAACTTTATTTTCACATACAGATCAACAGTCCTGTAAAGTTTTATGACACTGTGTCAAATACTTTTGTGTTCATGCGACACAACATTTACTCTTCACATGCTGATTAAATATACAAGCAAACTCCCAAGTACACACCTACACCTGCTGACCTTTCATGACTCTTGGTCAAATACTTTTTGTTGAAAAATGCCAATTGTCACTAAGTCAAGGTGCACAACTACACATGATGACCAAACTTTCTGTAAAGTTTTGTGATTCTAGGCTCAAACAATTTCTGCATTTTATTTAAGTCGGGGGGGGGGTAATTACTCTTCAAATGATGAATAAATCCAGACGCATAACCTTCACATTCAGACAATCGTTTATGTAAAGTTTCGTGCAAATACATTTTTGGTTATGCGGAATACACGTTTAAAACTGCGAATTTTAACTGAGTCAAGAAAATATCTCCACAAACACAGAATGAATATATACATGGAACCCCAGGTGCACAACTTCATATATTCATCAATATATCTGTAAAGTTATATGAATAGGTCAAATATATTTTGGCTACGCACGACGTTGAAATAAATGCAAAGTTTTAATAAGTCAACGGCAAAACCTCTACAAACACACACAAATCCACTGGTGTACAATTAATTACACATAATGATCACTATTTCTGTAAAGTTTCATGACTCAAATACTTTTGGGCTACACGAGATAGAGGCTGAAAAATGCAAACATTACTAAGTTTAGAGCAATAACTCGAATAAATTTCATATCTCATTTTCCTGCATAAATACCATAACAAACTGTGAATTTCATTTATTAGGAAAATGATTTTAAGTAATAGACAATTGATAACAAACCTCTATTCTTTTGACTTGATGTATTATTGACATTGAAGATTATTAGACTGTTTCTGACTTGTATCTGATTTGTATATATATTCTGATTTTTAGCAGCTTCACGCACAATTCTATTGACCATAAATCAAGACTAAAATATGCATGTTATTATTTCTATTATTATTAACCGCCTTTCATAAAACTTGGCGATGAACTTTAAAATGTTAATGCAAATAAACTATTTCACTTTGACTTTACTTGATTTGTATATATCATGAACTTTAGATGGAAATAAAACACCGAATTTTCAATGTACCACAGCCGAGATGTGTCCTTTATATATGCTGCTCAAAATTATATAAGCAAGCCACACAAATACCTTAAAGGTGTTTTCTTTTAAGATTTCGATTCGTTCATATGAAATCCGTTTAAGTGGCAAACAAAATTTTTTTATTTTATCATAATTCAATTTGTAAATGGAAAAATGAGGTTTTTACTTACCGACAGTTGTAAATATACCTTAAAAAATAAAAGTGAAAAAAGACGATTAAAATATTTGTAAGATAATTCGGTAATAGCCAGTATGATATATTGCTTTGTTTTATGATTGAATGCATATGCAGTTACGTAGAAATAAAAATAATAATTAATGATTTATGTACAAATATATTAACAAATATAGTAACACATATAGAGGGTAACATAACTGAATACATCAGTCAGAAAAAATTGTTGTTTATCACTTAGGTAAATGATATATAGTGCATTTCTTTAAACTTTCAATTAAAAGCAATTTTACTGAACCAAGATGTATTTAATTTTTGGGTGACATTTTCGCCAATGAATTTATAAAGTTAAGTAAACCAGCTTACCTGGAGGTAATGTTGTTAAATGGATGCCTTAAATTGAACAAAAATTCATAAAATTATTCAATGAAAATAATATTATGGAATAAATATTTCTTCCGTGTACAAATGATTTTCACACGAAAAAGAATAAAATATATAATGCGTGGAATTTGGTGCGACTTTGCTGGGACTTTTAACGGTGGAATGTATCTTAAATATGGGAAGACATATATAATAGATTTGTTTTGTCATTGTAAGAATAACTTTGATGAGACACGGATTGTAATAGACTGGATCTTATCTGGAAATTCAAAGTTTTGTAAAATCCTGGACGATTACTAGTCTTAGATGACAACGTTCATATTATCGTTTATTATAATTAAATAAAGAAATAAGTATTTAAATCCTTTGCGTTAAAAATGCAAAATTTTTGATATTATGCTTACATTTTCCGGGTAAAACATTGTTGAACATAAATAACTGCTTATAGTCCGTTTTCTGATACACATCTATATTTGAGAGGGCCACTACACCACTTTCCTGTTAATGATATTTAATTTAAAACGAAATAACGTCACAAATTCACATTAACGTTTAATTAAACAATTAAGCATATAATGAAAGTAGTATAATATTCTTTACCGCTATTATTATATTTACAAAATTCCATTGTAAATGGCATAAATAATCAAATCTTCTCAATTATAAGTATCCTTCGACGGCTTTGGAATAGAAGCAACCCACTTCTACGTTTCCATAAATGTGTATTTTAATCAAACTGTAACAGTTCTTCTAGAATTTCAATATACTCCAACTAAAAGTTTAAGGCCAATTAGACCTCATTATTTCTAAAACTATGCTCCATGTTACAGTTTCCGAAAAAATACCCATTGGCTATAAAGCTGAACCATCTTGTGCTTTTTGGCATTTAGGTACAGTTATAGTAATTTAGTACTTTTGTATTGACATCAATATATCACTTTATTATCCTTTATTGATCAACGCTGCTTTCTTCAACCATTTAACATATTCTAAATCTTAGACTTTTACCCAAACCTATTACAAAAATAATAAAACACATGTTGTGCCCGTCTTTCAAGGGGAAAAATTCATTGATAAGGCTAAATGGTAATAATTTTCGTATACTTACATGATATATATCTTCTCCAGAGAACTTGCTATTTCTTTTGAACATTTTTTTCTAAAAAAGGTAAAAATGACCGTTTTGTTCTGTCCCTAACTTTGAATTACAAGATAGTTTTTTTACATATTAGATACATTCATTTTGCAAAACAGTTTGAATGACTAACATTTTGCAAACAAAAAAGTATGTATTCAACACGATATATGCAAATGGCACATATTCAGTTTAAAATATTAATTACCTTATTCGTGTGCAAATATTACACAAAACGACAATGAATTCAATATAAAATGCATTTTGCATAACATAAATGAATGATTTGGATGTTTTTAATAAGTATATATATCCGTAATGATAAATTCTTATTTGCACTACTTTATTCAAATTTTGTACTTATACCCAATATATGTATATTAATATTATCTTATCTTTCCGCGTTTATTTCAAATTCATTTTGTTATATATATATGTGATTTTGAAAAGTGTATACACCTGTCTATGTTTATTATGAGAATAAGTAAGTTTTCCTCCATATGAATTTAACAGCTTCTTTTTTAAAGAAACATTTTTAATCGTCCTCTGAAATAAGAAGTAATTATTATATAATATTTTCAATTTAAAAATATGATAAAAGGATCATTTGAAATAACAATGTTTGGTTTTATCAATAATTTATTGATTGAGATATAACGTAAAAATACAATAACAATAATAATAATAATAATAAACCCTACAAGTTAAACAGTATTTGACAAATATAGCCAACTCACTTCTGATAAGATATTTCAAGGTTTAGTACATGTTGATAAACAATTTTTAATTTTATATGGATTTAATTTATTTTAAATTTCCTTATACTGTTACATCTATTATTACTATTTGTATAAGAACTTTTCTATAAGTCAATGTCAGCTCAAAACTAAAACATAATTATGCATCTACCACCTTTTTTCCTATTTGACTCTTTTTATTTTGATTCCATGCAAATAGCTTCCCTGTAATCTGAAATAAAGTTTGCAATCATGTATACAAAAACGACTGTTGTTTAATTTTAATATTTTTGCATGTTTTTTTTTTAAAAATATTTATTTGATAAAAGATATTGTTATGTATGCAACATATTACATGTATATAATTTATATCTGACCTGTTGGTATTTCCAATATTATCATTGTTCTATTTTTAGAACATTAACTACATGTATGTACTAGAACTTTCTTAACTGTTGTAGAAAACTCATGCATTATATTTAGATAGAAACTTCTGGAATGTTCTTTATTGTTGAAGTTGCTAGATTATGATTACTTGAGAACATAATAGACCTTTCTGGAATTTTCTTAGTTAATATATATAAATTGACATTTTTCATTACCTTTACCTTTTAAGTCATCAGTAATCTTTAAGTCATCAGTTACCGTTTAAGTCATCAATATATTTGGAGTATTATTCAACTTGGAAATTAAGTGATTTATTGGAGCTTGGATTATTTCAAAATAGATTAAATTATTCTTGTGGATTTTATTGTGGGAATTTATTCTAAAGTGTTCTTGGATTTAACTTGGATTTAAGTGTGCTATTCCAAAGGATCATTCCAGGATCAGACTAGACATTTAAGATTTTCATTTTCATTTGGACTTCAGGTATTTGTAAACATAATTTGTTATTTTATTTTTCTTTGATAATTTTTCTGTAATAAATTTGTTATTGTTACAAGTTTGTTGCTGGCTTTTCTTTCTCGTTACGCCTGGCTCGTAACAGAAATTGGGGGCTCGTCCGGGATTGAATATTTCTTTTTGACTACATTATTGGAAATTATTACCGTTTATTTTACATTTTATTATTACTGTATTTACTCATCTGAGTTGATATCATAGTTGTTCTATTAAGTGTACCTTTCATTTTGATATTTTTGAAACACATCACTTTCTGAGTTTTAAAACCAGCAGCAAGCAGTCATGTTTTTAATTTAGAAAAGTTTTGTAGCTGAACC